AGTACGCAGATCCACTACCATGGAGGGCTTTATGAGTGACAAGTAGCACCTTGAAGCGCACCCGGAGATCAACAGGTAGTTGGGCTAGCAATAGCTGGTTAAAAGACTGAGCACAGGGCAGCACCCAGAAACACTTGATGGCACCTTCTGTGAAGACTTTGTGTTGAAGGGGACACATATAGTAGAATACTCAGGAGGAAACATGGGAGAACCATGGGAGAACCATGTTCCATGGGGCTTTTCTCTGACTGAAGAAAGAAAACCATGGACATGTCTGAGGTGAGGACCCCTAATTGGGGTCAAGCAATACCTGGGAGCAAGCAATACCTGGGTATACCCATAGAAGTGGCCACCCACAGGCAGAGGTCAATGTTAGCCATGCGCCCCACAATTTCTCTGAGTAAAGTCTTCTAGATATACTGTATTCACAGGTAATTTATCTGCTTTCTTTCCTAGTTTTCACATTGGAAGCAGCTGCACTGACCCTCAGATCTTCACCCAATCCATAGCAGATGCTCGCCTGATCGTGGAAATGGCTGCAGAGCTGGGCTACAAGATTCGTCTCCTGGACATTGGAGGAGGACTTCCCTGTGCTGAAGAGTCAAGGAGGCACTTCGAAGAGGTAGGAGGCCTCATGCTGGAATCCTGCCTTGGGAGCACATTGAGGGAGTCCAAGGACCTCTCAGCCGGTCAAGAGTACCCGGGGCCCTTGATGTGGGAGGCCACACTCTAATTTCTGTTGAGTCAAGAATTGAATGGTGTGTGAAAAAAATCAAAATATTTGCTGAAGAATCAAAGGACGTGGCTCAAGTAGGTGGCACACTCAAATATCCGTGTTTTGTGTCCTGCTTGTTGCTTCTCATTTCCTCTTTGCAGTCCAGAGGTTCGAGAACCTTCCAGCTATTCTAAAACCATTCATAGCCAGCACTGAGACAATTCTTCCCAAGAGGCCCAGATATGCTCTGCGTCAGTTTTCTTCCTTGGAGGTTGTTTCAGCCACTGAACGCATCCCATAAGTGGCACTTTGTTTGATGCACAAGCATCTCCACAGTGACCCTCTGAGGCTAAACTTTACTTTCATGGGGTTTTCTGCTGTACTGCTCAGCCACCAGGCTTGGATCAAGTTATAAATAAATACCGATACAGATATAAATACAGATTAACAGTTGGAAGGGACCTTGTAGGTCATCTAGTCCAACCCCCTGACCAAGCAGGAGACCCTACACCATTTCT